ACGAATTAATTAATGTAAATGTGATTGTGGAGAGGTAATTTTATTATTAAAATTGTTTAACAAATTCTAAAAAAATGATAGTGATTATAATATAATTGTGACTATATAGAGGTATTTTTAATAATAAAAAAATGGAAATTTAAAATCATGTGATTGTGTAGAGTTTGTGACTATATGTGAGGTGACTATATGGAGGGACGACTGTATAATTATGTTAAAAATCTTGAATTTTAAATAAAATTGAAAGTCAGTAAAAAGTTTTATCTAAATTTGGATAACATGCTATTAGTAACATTTTTTTAAATGTTAAACATTTCTACTTGAAATTTTATTTTAAATTCATATAAATTTGGATTTAAAAATTACATTTTCAAATCTCTAGTTAATATTAGCAAAAATTATGATTAACTAAAATTTCAAAACAAATAAAAAGTAAAATCATAAATTATATATATATATTTTTTTGAAGTAGATTTAATTTATTGTAATGAACCATAATGCTATAAATTTTAGTATAATTATAGCTTGAATTCAAATGAATTTAAATGGTTTTTAAATTTAAAATGAAACTTAGTCCTAATTCTCACAAAGATCATGAGTGCCTAAGGCCAATTTTATTGGTTTCTGCCAATTTTAGGAGTATGTATATTATGTATTATATTATATTATATATATATATGTGTGTTTTGTGACCAACCTCTCTTCTTCCCCAAGCTGTTTTATTTTGGTTTCTGCCAATTTTAGGAGTATGTATATTATGTATTATATTACATTATATATATATATGTGTGTCTTATGACCAACCTCTCTTCTTCCCCAAGCTGTTTTATTTTGGTTTCTGCCATCTATACAAAATAAGTCATTTTGTATATGTCAATTGAATGACAAAGTTTTTTTTATAAAAAAAAAAAAAAAAAAAAAGCTTTCATAGTTAATAAAACACAACGATGCATGCTTTCTGAGAATAATAATATAGTATTACCAGAACAGAACTCTTTAGAAAGAAATAACATTCTATAAAAGAATGATTTTGACGAAGATAAAGCCCTCTCTTCTAATAATGAAGACTCTTAAGAAAAGTACTCTGACCATGCTTATAATTCAACCCTGGAGATGATATCTCTCCCGGTTAAAATATTCAAAGGAAATGAGCTATTTACTAATAATAAAAAAAGAATACTACAAACTATTTCAAAAAATAGACAGGTCAAGTCTGTATCATCATCTATAAACAGCAGTTATCTCAAAAGTTGCCAAAAGACATTAAAATAATTAACAAAATACTTTTAAAGATATCTTACCACATATCAGCTACCCTCAGACTATTGGACTATTCCCTTAAGACTCTATATGATACTAAGCCAGAGAAAATAAAAAAGAAGTCCTTGAAGTCTGGACAATATTAGATCAATTTATGCTGGTAGCTAGGTCTTTGCTGTTGAACTCTTTCTCTTATACTAATACAGGTTAGAAAAAACTTGGCTATCAAAGCTATTATTTCTTCTTATCAACCCAGAGCCAAGTATGACAAGTTGTTTGGCAAAGAACTTGCTGATTATGTTAAAAAAGAGAATGAAATCTCTAAATTTTTTAATGATACTATATAACAAAGAAAAGGTTAGAATCGTTTGGTAAAAAAAACAACTACAAAAGGAACAAGAACTTTAATTCAAACAAATATAGAGGCAGAGGTAGAGGATTCTGTAAAGAATTTGAAACCTCAATCTATAGGCAGAATTTTTGGCTTGATCCTTACAAGAGGTCAGTCTTAGCATGATGTACAAATGTAAGATTGGGCAGAAGATTGAAATCTTTTTTATACGAATGGAAAAATCTTTGTGAAGACTTCTAAATAGTAGAGCTCTTATACAATAGCTATCTTCTACTCTAGAATATATTACCTTCATTAAGAATTCAACCTGTTTCAAAAGAGTCATTACAAGAGGAAGCTTTTCAGACTATGATATTAAAAATAAATAAATTATTGGAAAAGAGTATTATTACAGAGTTCGACAAGAACTTACTATATTTTATTTTAAAAATTTTTTGTATTCTCAAGAGTTCCAAAGAACTTTGCCCAGTTATCGATTTTTGTCTACTAAACAATAATATAAAATATCAACACTTCAAAATGGAAGATATGGATCTAGTAAAAAACACATTACAAACAAATGATTTTTTAATGAAAATAGACATTAAAGGCGCTTTTGCTCATATACCAGTGGCAAAGAACTTTTCAAAGTATTTAACATTTAATTTTGGAGGATAACGTTTTGCCTTCAAAGCTTTCTCCTTCAGTTTAATCTCAAGCCCAAGCATTTTTACAAAAATATTATATCCAGTAGCAAAATGGGCGAGATCTTAGGGTATTCATCTAATAATTTATCTAAACAATATTCTTATAATGGCTCATTTGCAAAAACAAGCATATCTACATATACAAAAAGTGATACAGATGTTGGAAAGATTAGAATTTATAATAAATCTGAAAAAATTGTATCTGGTTTCTAAAAGAATTTAGAATTTCTGGGATTCCTCATAGATACAAATTTGATGTTAATAAAGCTATCTAAAAGAATAATAAATGAAATAAGAAAGGAATTCTAGGGAAACTTTTAGCCTGTACAAATGTAGTGTTTCCAGTAAGGCTTTATTTAAGAGCTCTTCTCAAAGAAAAAAACCAGGCTTTAGCTCAAGAAGGTTGAAATTCGACTGTATGTCTCTCATCAGAAAGCAGCACTTAACTAAAGTGGTAGTCACAAGAACTCTTGAACTAGAACGGTCGGGTAATAACCCAACAAGAACCAAGTATAACACTGACAACAAATATGTCTCACCTGGGTTGGGGGTGGTAATAAACAATTTAGTTATTTATGGCAGATTAAATCAATCCAAAAAAATCTTCACATAAATTAGCTAGAGATTTTAGCAGTAAAGAAAGCAATAGTCATTCTTAGAATTGAGCTCAAAATTTGAGATTGAAATCAGACAATATAACAATGGTGGTATACATAAACAATCAGGGTGGCACTATTTCAAAAAATGTAAATCAAATAGCAGAGATAATTTGGAGAGATTGTTTGAAGAGACAAATCAATTTGATCACTTACCATGTTCTTAGAAAAGAGAATTGGTGGCAAATGCTATATCCAGATTAAAACTGGAGTGTCAAGACTAGTCAATCCAGAGAAAATTATTTAAGAAGATCAACCAGTTACTGGGACCTTGCAATATAGATCTATTTATAAACAAATCCAGCAGAATGTTCCTAAAGTATTGTTTTCTCATTCCAGACAGAGAAGCCTTGACTACGGATACTTTACAACTTCTATGAAAAGAATAGAAGCCTTGGACGAACCCCTTTTGAATATTAAAACCCAAAATCTTAAACAAAGTAATTTGAGAAAAAGTGATAATAACTTTGGTCTTTCCTCTGTGGCAAATGATACTCTGATTTTCTATCTTACTTCACCTTCTAGCAGATCTTCTGATTATAATTATACCAAACTCAATTATTTACAATTATCAATGATCTAACAGGAGAATAGATCTTTGGAATCTTTGTGTAGCATATTTATCAGAAAACAATTATCAAACAAGGGCCTTCAGAAAGGAGCTATCAATCTATACTCTGCAGCTTATAATTTAGAAGCATCAAAAATGGTTTCTTCAAATATCAGAGTGTGGTGTAATTAGTGTAAACAAAGGAACCAAGATCCTACTTGTGATTTGGTAATTATAATTCAGTTTCTAAAAGAACAATTAGATTAAAAAAAGGCATATAACACAATAGCAGGCTATAGATTTGCTATTAATAAAATATATAATTGAATCAAAGGCAAAAAAGTAGGATCACACCCCGATATTGTTCAGGTCATGAAGTGAATTTATAATTTGAATTCACCTCTTCTTCACTCAGATGAGGTCATAATCACACTATTATTTGAATATATTTTGAATCTAGGCTCAAATGAAGCTATAACGATTTTAAACATATTGCAAAAGATAGCCTTATTGATCACAATCACCACTGCTACATGACTATCTGACTTAACTAGGATAGATCTGTTAACAGTATGAGCAGTTAAAAATGGTTATGTTGTAGAAATCCAAAACCCCAAAGAATCGAAGTTTCTAGATCCCATGATAGTTAGAAAAATGTGTCAAAGACTATATTTATAAATATATATTGAAACAAGCCCAAATTATGTCTAGCCTCTGCTTTTGCAGAATGTATGAATAGAACAAGTGCTTAAAGAAATACATCTACTAGAGTGACTATGCTTTTTTTAACAAGTACTAAACCACATAACCCAGCATTATCTGACATAATATCGAGATGGATATGAAAAATTCTTCGTCAAATTTGAAATCAAAGGACACTAGGATGATGACTGCTCTTTTTGTACAAGATTCTGGTACAGAATTAATGAAAATTCTGGCACTAGAAAATTGGACCAGTAATGAAACATACTATAAATTCTACCAAAGAAGCATATCAAAAAATGTTGGCTAAGAACAATATTATGACTTTGATACTAAATCAAGCAAGAATGGAATGCTTCGAATAGGCACTCATGATCTTGGTAAGAATTAGGACAGTTTTATTTATACAAATGGATGAGTATAATGAAGTTTATTTGAAAATGGAACAAAGAACTAAGAATCACCAAGATCACATGCTACCTACCTTTCAATACTATTTCTGCTTGCCCAAATTATATTCATATCAAAAAAAATATAAATATATATATAAAAAAAAACTCTAAAAAAAAAAAAAACTCTTTCCGGTTCACCCCTGAAAATCATTGACAATAGTAAAAAGTAAACAAAATCTTTGCAAGTTT